GCGAGCGGGCGGCTGCTGTCGCTGCTGGTCTGGTCGGTCCACGAGGTTGGGGGGTGCGAGCGATTTCTCTCCTCCGGCCCCGGCGTGCACGCTCAGAAGGCTGGGTATAAACTGCTTCGCATCCCCTACCTGTTGCTGGCGAAAGGACTCCTTCCCCAGGGCCCTTCAACTGACTTCTTAAAGAGAAACGTGGTTAGAAACCTCGTGTGCTGAAATCGGGGTCTTTTCCTGCCTTCCCTTAAAAATAAAAAAAGGAAGAAAAAAGAAATGACCGGAAGACAATGCGGCAACTCCTGAGTACTGACGCCCCCAAGGAGTGAAACCAAACTTCATTCAGCGGACAGTCGGTGGCATGCGTAGCTGCAGTGCCTACTAGGGAAAACGTAGGAAAACTGGATTTTTCATCTTGGCAGGTTCTCTCTGAAGGGCTGGGTGTCAACAAGGGGGAAAAAAGGCTAATTTCCCTTAATGCTGTTATTTAGTAATTTGATGTGCTTAAAAATCTACGTAGGATGAGGTGGCGTGGGCTGTGATTGTTACTTGAGTGTTAACAATCAAAGACATTTGCTGCCAGTGTACTGGAATGGTTTACGGATTTTGCCACGAAACTCATGGCACCAGCCCCTATTCCTGTTCTTGAAAAATCGGCAGCGCTAGACTTGTTTGCAGGCTTTCCCGTCTTCCAATATTTGCCCCAGAGACATAAATAGATAGGTTGGACACTGGGGAAATTTCAGCCTCAGCTACCGCCTGTAGTAGAAAATGTTGTCTTTGGCGGAAAAATCTTTGTTTCTACTGCATTTTTCCCCTCCTGTCTTGTGGTTACTAACATTTAGTTTTAAAATTGAATTTGTGTATAAGGTCAGAACGTTTCTTTTTGGCATAATTTTCTCCACTGCCAGTTAGGACAAAAATAGTGTAAATTATTGGAAGAATTACTTAAATTGGGGGAAATTTAATGTTTTCATTATTAATTTTGTATGTTACAGATCAGAACTTCATTTTTCTCTTGATGTGGAGGTAGGTATAAGAAGGTTTAATTATGCCATGATTTGTGGGAGATTTCTGCAGTTGGCTAAATTTTTCACTATTTGATTTTTGGGGTGGTGGATAGATGCGTCCTTGCTTGTTCTTATTGAAATTATATTTTAAAGCAAGAAATAAATGAGATTCATTTAATCAAGATTTGGGATTTATTCATTAGTTTGGCTCCAAGGTAACAAAAAGTCAAAACTAGTTAGCATGTCTATAATTGTGGAAAGGATCACGGAGGATGGCTGTGCTTTCTCTATACTTTTCTATTTTCTATTTAAAAAATATAAGTAGTTGACTTTTGAAACGTGGTGTCTGCATGGCATATTATAAAGTAGATTTAATGTAGGCTAGCACGTGAAAAGACAATTACACGTCATATTTTCTTTGAAGTCATATTAACTTTTTTCCTTGTCTCCCCAGACATAGGGTTACTGCCAGCTTGCCAGTGCTTCAGAAGGGAGTTTTTAATTGAAACTGGAAGACCAAAAGAAACACAAGCATGCTGTGCTGGGGAAATGCATCCTTTGGACAGCTAGGCTTGGGTGGAATTGATGAAGAAATTGTTCTAGAGCCCAGAAAAAGTGACTTTTTTATAAATAAAAAGGTCCGCGATGTAGGATGTGGACTCAGACATACTGTATTTGTTCTGGATGATGGAACAGTATACACATGTGGATGTAATGATCTAGGACAACTAGGACATGAAAAATCTAGAAAGAAACCAGGTAAGTTAGAAATTAAGTTTTTTTTGCTATTTAGAATAAGTTTATCACTTAAATTTTGAAGTATTAATTAATTTTTCTAGTCCTAAATCCACATTCTGTCAAGCTTTAAAAATGAAGTAGAAGTTAATTATGTTCTTTATATTTGCATGCTTCTAAAAGTATTTTAATTATTTTGCATGTGTTTTAATTTCACAAACCTTTATTGCATGAGGCTTTGATTGTAGAACATAAACAACTGGTGTTGTAAAACAGGCAGCCTGCCGTGTGTTGAATTTATTTAGTCTGGAGAGCATAGGTATATAGTATGTTGAGCCTCTTTAGTAAAAGTTTTGTTCAGCCGTCTTGGGCAGATTAAAAAAAAAATCATTTTATTGGGAGCTCTTAAAGCTCTTGTAACACTCCATACATTAATTGTATCAAGCATATTTGTACATGTGTTGCCATCATTTCCAAAACATTTTCTTTATATTTGAGCTCTTGGTATCAGCTCCTCTTTTTTCCCCTCCCTCCTTTACCCTCCCACCCTGGTGAACCCTTGATAAATTATGAATTATTATTTTCATATCTTACACCATCCACTGTCTTCCTTCTCCCACGTTTCTGTTGTTCAGCTCCCTGGGGGTGGGGTGTGGGTGTGGGTGGTAGTGGTGGTGGTTATATGTATGTCAATCATTGTGATCCATTCCCCCTTTCTCTCCCACCTTCCCCCTACCCTCATGGTATCCCTGTTCTCATTGTGTTACTGAGGGGTATATCTGTCGTGGATTCTGTGTGTCGAGGGTTCTTACCTGTACCAGTGTACATGCTCCAGTGTTGGCGGATTTGATAGGTAGAACTGGGGTCATGGTGGTGTATGTGTGGGAGGGTGGGGGTGGTGGGGGAAAGGAAGCATTAAAGAGCTAGAGGAATGTTGTGTGTTTACTCGGTGCTATACTGTACTCAGGCTGACTCATTTCTTGTGACCCTTCTGTGAAAGGATGTCCAATTGTCTACAGATGGGCTTTGTGTCTCCACTCCATCCCCCCCCTTGCCCCTACTCTTTCACATTGGTATGATTGCTTGTTTTGGATCTTCTGATGCCTGATACCTGATCCTATCGACACCTAGTAATCACTGGTGTGCTTCTTCTATGTGGGCTTTGCTGCTTCACTGCTAGAACTTGTTTAACTTCAAACCATTAAGACCCCACACACTATATCTTCTAATAGCCGGGCACCATCAGCATTCTTCACCACATTTGCTTATGCCTCCATTTTGACGTCAGCTTTCCTCGGGAAGGTGAGCGTCACAGAATGCCAGGTTATTAGAACAAAATGTTCTTGTGTTGAGGGAGGTCTTGAGTTGAGGCCAGTGTCCGTCTGCTGCCTTGATACTTAATGTATAAATATATATACATAGATTATATTATTTTATATTTATATATTTACATATATGCATGCCTACATTTATAGCTCTATACATGTTTTTTGCCTCCTAGTTCTTTCTTCTATTTCCTTTTACTTTACTCTTGTCCCACTATCACATTCAGCCTTCATTCCGCTCTCAGTAATTCCTCTCGTTTACATTGTATTTTATCAAACCCCACCAGGTGTTCTACACTCTCCATGTGGGGTAGATTTTGAGCTCATAATTTACGTTGTTTTTCATATATCCCAAATTAGGGGGGAAATGAAAGTTTTAAGGTTTTTTAATATGAAATGTTCTGATTTTGAAGTGGGCATACAAGCCCAGTTTAAAATAATTTATAGGGTAATGTGAATTCTGAAGAGTTTAGTCACATTTCATGTTGTTTTCCTGGATGTACTTACATATTTTAAAATCAAATGTTACCACTCTTAAAAATATTCTTTATATGAATTTTGCTTTCGTTACAACCAAAAGTTAATAAATTAAGGTGATGAATTCAGATGAGACGATAGCAGTACTGATTTATCATTCTCTTAACTTTTTTTTCTCTTTAATGACACTTCTGTGCACCTTTTGAAAAATAGCCCTTTATTATTTAAATAATTTATTTTGCTAGTCTACTCTTGAGACATTAATGTAGTTACCCAATAAATATTATTAAGGCGTATTTTATCTTTCATGATACCTCACCTTTGCAAAACTTCACTTTTTTAGCTTGTAACTATTGTGTAGTTTTTCAGTCTATCTTTGTGGTTAGACGCTCTATCTCTTTTCTTCTACCTTCCTTACCTTCATTTGTAACTTCGCAATTATTGACTGAATGGTAGATTTAAGTATTGCGAGGCTCAGGTCAATGATGGCTTTCATATCCTCTACTAAGATTTTTTTAGTGGAACCGTATTAGATTTTCATAATCTCAGAATTCGGGCGGTTTTGTTGATGAAAATGAGTGGTAATATATTTAAAATAAAATGAAAATAACAAAAATGTTCATTTGAATGGTAGATCTGCTTCTGAATCAGACACTTTCCTTAGCTTATAATACTGTCTCAGATTGAGATTTTCATGACATTAGAACTGTTGCTAGTCTTTGTGCTAACATGTCCCATAGACATAACACCCATTATGTTTTTAGTAGTTTCTGAGAGGCAGCTGGGCAAATAGCAAGTATAAAGCCAGCAACATAGAAATTGCAGTGTACTTACTGAAGTTTATTAAGACTTAAAGATCTTAAATGTTATTAAATATTACCTGTTTTATGTCCAGGACAAAGACAGACACTGAGCATTGATAGTATAATGAATATAGTGCCTGGAACAATTTCTGCCTCTATGTGGAAAGATTCTCAGAAACTTAACTAGCCAAAACAGACTTCTTCCTGGTCATGCTGGCATTGTGATGATGGTTGCATTGTGACTTCTTTATCATTCTATTGATTCATCTTAGAAGCATCATTTGGTAATAGAAAGTTGAGAGAATAGGTTTCCTTAGCTTCTGATCTCTTTATGGCTCATTAACTGTGTCTGAAAAATTTAGAGCCTGGGTTAGGAGGTAAACATTCATAAATGAAACAACTGAAGGTAATGGAATTTGACATGCTGTACACACACAAGCACACACGCACACACTCCATGTATACTCGTGTATAAGTCGAGTGTTTTCAGCACATTTTTAATGCAGTTTTTGTGGTAAAATTAAGGTGCCTCAGCTGATACACGGGTCGCCTTATATTCGAGTATATACGGTGTGTGTGTATATATGTTTTGAGCCTGGAGAATTTAAATGATGGGAAATATCATTGTGGGCTTAAAACTAAAGATTCCAGTGGAAACGAAGTGTTTAACCAGTGAAAAAAATAAAACTTGGAGCTGTTTAGTTTTATTGGGGGAATAAAGCTTGTGGGAAGAAGGGCAGCTGGTACTTTCCCAAGTACTAGCAAAGCTTTTTATTACCAGAAGTCCAAACCTCAGTGGGGGGAACTAGAAGTTCAAGATAGTTCCTCTGGTAGGAACTTCGTTTAACTTCAGTTACTTTAAGGTGCTTGAGTGGTAAATTTCCAATAATATTTTTAATCAAAATTATTTCCATTTGGAATTACTCCTTAATGATTTAAATGTGCCCCATCCTCAAAGCTTCTTCTCTTTTTCTTTTTTAAAAAGTGTATGAGTTGTGTACTAGATTAGAAGATAAAGACTGTTAGAACTTATTTAAATGGGTTTAAGGCCTTTTACGGTCATTGAGTTAACCATGTATTTCTTGGATCATGTAGTAACATAGGCCACTTTATCAGAACTTTAACCTTGTGTGAGAAAGAAAACACACAGAAAGGAAGGATCTCAAGTTGTCTCCTCACAGAAACTGGTTTTACAAACAGATTAAATAGTCTATGGCTAGGAATAGAGTGAAAGAGAAAGAATAATGATAATATGAAGGCTTTGGCTTTACACTGCAGTAAATAGATTTGACATATTGACTGCTGGGAGAGAGTTTTCATTCTCCAAGTTTGGGGTCCATAGCTATACCATGAAGGAACCCTGGTAGTGCTGTGGGTTAAGTGTTGATCTGCTAACTGCTGGATCAACCATTCAAACCCCCGAGCAGCTCTGCTTATTTGCTGAAAGACGAGGTTTTCTGTCCCTCTAAAGGTTTACATTCTTACTCTGTATAGGATTGCTGTAAGTCAGAATCCACTCAGTGGCAGCAGGTGTTTGTTTGTTTGTTTTTAATATTTCCAAGGAAACTTGGTGGTACTGTCGGATGGACATTGGGCTGTTAATCATGGGTTCTTGGTTCAAATCCTCCAGCCTCTCTTTGGGAGATAAAACGAGGCTGTCTGTTGCTGGAAAGATGTACAGTGTGGGAAACCACATATAGGATCACTATGAGTCGAAATCAACTCAATGGCAATGTTTTTGTTTTTTTAAAGTATACGAAGATGTAGATAATGTCTGTGCTTGTCTCTGCTCTCATGTACAGGCATACCTCAGAGATACTGCAGGTTCAGTTCCAGACCATTGTAATAAAGTGAATATCACAATAAAGTGAGTCACAATGTTTCGGTTTCCTAGTGTTACGGTTCCACTCTACAGTAGTCTTTTAAGTGTGCAATAGCATTATGAAAATGCTTGAAATGCTGTGAGAATTACCAAAATGTGATAAACAGGTATAAAGTGAGCACATGCTGTTGAAAAATGGCATTGCTAGTATTATTCAACTTAGGCTTGTCAGAAACCTTCAATTTGTGAAAATCTAGTGTGTCTTTGAAGCTCAGTAAAGTGAACCATAAACAAGATTTGTTTGCACACATATGCGGGGGCTTTTGAAACCTAGTGGAAAAATGGAGTGAAAGACAATGGAAATTTTCTGCAGATTTTTTGAAGCCCCTTGGGTATGTATACCCCTTGTTAATATTTGCTTTTCTGAATTATTTCCAGGGAAGTGAAGTTATATTCACTTTCAGGTTTATAGTTTTCCATCATACTTTTATTTTAAGCTAGTGGCTATCATTTCCTTAATTTGTCTCTGACAAATGTGCTGATATTCAATATGCTAGACATTCATCTAAATGATTCGTTTTCATTTTTATACACCTT